ACTACCAACTTAAGTTCGAGTTTCTTTCTTTGCGCAAGAAAAGAGTCGAAATTAAACAGGACACCGAATATTTCAATAATAAATAACATGTTTCCTCTTTTTTTCAGTTTATTACAAACATGGTGTATGGTAGATGGCAACAAAATAGGAACACATTTTCTGACCATGGTTGGGCGAAACATCCGCTTTGTTTCTTTGTTTTAGTTGTTTCGTTGTCTCTCCATGCAAATGATATGTCAAAAGATGTGCGTATTTACAGCTTCTTATAATAATTGAGGTCATCCTGCGTCGAAATTAAACAAGACATCGAATATTTCAATAATAAATAACATGTTTCCTCTTTTTTCCAGTTTATTACAAACATGGTGTATGGTAGATGGCAACAAAATAGGAACACATTTTCTAACCATGGTTGCGCGAAACATCCGCTTTGTTTCTTTGTTTTAGTTGTTTCGTTGTCTCTCCAAAGGTGCGTTTCGTTTAATTCTATGGCATTTAAATGCAAATGATATGTCAAAAAATGTGGGTATTTCGAGCTTCTTATAATAATTGAGGTCATCCTGCGTGTTTTCTGGAAACTACTCGGCTACTTTGATCATAGACCTTGATGGTAGTTGAGGGAAGGTCAGGGAACGTGCTCAATCGCAGTAATTGAGCTCATGAATTTCCAATGATGCTTCTACACTTTTCTTTCCTTAAAATGTCCCGTTAGCGATTGGCAATTTTCCTTAAAACTGTCCAAATTCGCCAATGATATATTTACATAGTAAAAGTCATCATGTGGATTTTTAATTAAAACACATTTGTAAGAACAGAGTGTGCTCTAATTTATCCCAACATAGACTCCTGCTTGTCTTAGAAATGGAATGAATTAAAGTAAATTCAAGGCATTTGTCATCAGAAATCGTTAGTGTGTGTGTGTTTTTCTTTTTTTTTTTCAAGACAAGTTCCTAAGGTAAAATCGGGGGTTTTCAAACTGCCTTTTAAAAAATAACTAGATCCAAAATAAATAAACCAAAAATACTTGTCTAGTGTTATCCAAGTTTGACAATTTGGTTGTAGTATAAGATGAATTATTTTTGAAGTTACGTTCAGTAAATAAAGGATATAGAAGGGCAGACCCTATGGAAATTAATGCGGGTAGTTTGAAACATTTCTATTTTAAGAATTTGAAATGGGAGCTGACACTTGGCAACTTGAAATTGAGATAGCTACGAGCCATACTAATCATGATGGCATTAAATAAACTTTTTCTCCAGTTTAAGTGACAACTAAATGGATTTCAGCTCGATAACACCGATTTCATATTAAAAACCATATGACCCCGCAATCGATTGCTTTATGCTCGTTTGTTATTTATTGTCAGTTTTCACTGAATGAATTCCTCTTGCTAAATACATTGACACCTGAAATTAGGACCTAAAAAATAAGGTCGCTTGTTTACTCGGGCGTTAGGAAGCTTTTGACAACAAGTGCGAGCCATTCTTGCGTGGAGCTACGAGCCGTTGGATTTGACTATTTTTCGCGGTCCTTCTCTGCTGTTTAAACTTGGGTTACTGATTGATATGCTAGTTGGCATCATTACTTCTTTAAATTCTTGATCTTTCACGATTTCCCCGATCCATTCTCGACATTGGTTCACCTTATCCTTTTTTCTCGAAGAATCCGAATTATGAAGTCAATCTAACGCTTCACTTGTCGATCTATAAATCATATAAAGCTTCAGCTTTTTGCTCCTCCAGATTCAGTTAAATAAATTTGAATCTACATTGTTTATTCTATTACCCAACTGAGCTTCACCTTGTTCTTTTACATTAGTGTAAGACAGAAAGGCGCCCATAGTGGACACAATTGGATGTTTTACATTTGGAGTTCAACAGGATCTTGGTATTATTGTTAAAGCGGCATAGGTCAGAAGTTTGAAATTTCATTTATATAAAACAAAACATGTCTACTTACCAATACCCAAATTAGAATTCCAAATATCGCATTTAACAGCAGAGCGAGTACTATGACTGTCCATATTTGAGAAAACTCTTTAATCACATTCCATCTCGCCTTGTTGACCAACACTTCGCGATTCTTCAAAACAGCTATGCCCGGCGAACTTACTATATCTTGGAAGCGAAGTCTGTGAAAGTTGTCGCTCATTACATGGGAACTAAGCACTGGAAACACTAGGTCAAATCCAGACTTCATCTTCATGCAATCTGTTAGTTCCTTTTCATTTTCTACTTGATGCCGACTGTAGTTTAATTTGGAGCTTAAGTTTTCGCACCATTTGTAAGCGGGCTTAGGGTTGCAATAATTTTCACATTTACTAAGTAAAAATTCGATTGCCTCGTTGAAGGCCCCAGAAATGTTTCCAGTGTCATCATCTTTAAATAAGTAAGGTGGACTATTGAGCCAACAAACTTTGAGCTGATGACATCTTGGAGACGACGCTGTTGGTTTGGATGTTGACTGACTGGAGTCAGGAGTTGAGGTGGAAGTCACAGACGAGTAACTTGAGTTGTGGTTTAGTGAAGGTGAAGAGGGCGATAGACTTGAGGTGAAAGTCCCCGACGAGTTACTTGAGTTGAGGTTTAGTGAAGGTGAAGAGGGTGATGGACTTGAGGTGGAAGTCCCAGACGAGTTACTTGAGTTGTGGTTTATAATTAGTGAGGGTGAAGGCGATAGAGCATCCACTGGACCAAGTACAAACAAAACTAAGAGAGAAACTAACGCCAGCCTTATCTCCATTTTGTTGCGTTGTAATTTACCTCAATCATTACTCTCGTATTTTTATGGACCAAGTTCTTCCGTAGACGGGAAGCTTGTTATTTGCAATATATGTAATTCGTCTATAGTTAAACCTATGCCAAAATTGATTAAATGTCAACAATTTCTTATTGGTTCCATTGCTGTAACTAATTATCCTTCTTTAATCTCAATTTGATCGCCGCCATCACTACAAAACAAAATTCACTTGTCTAAGTTGTGAAAAGAAAAAGCACCGACTTAACGCAATTAATTCTGGGATCACTAAGTTAAGCAGT